TTTTTGGGAGACAGAGTTTCGATTTGTTGCCCAGGCTGGAGTACAATGGCACAATCTTGGCTTACCGCAACCTCTGCCTCCCAGGTTCAAGTGATTCTCCGGCCTCAGCCTTCCGAGTAGCTGGGACTACAGGTGTGTGCCAGCACACCTGGCTAATTTTGTATTTTTAGTAGCGACAGGGTTTCACCATGTTTGTCAGGCTGGTCTCGAACTCCCGACCCCAGGTGATCTGCCCATCTGAGCCTCCCAAAGTGCTGGAATTACAGGTGTGAGCCACTGCACCTGGCGGTAATTTTTTTTTTAAATAGAGACAGAATCTCACTATGTTGCCCAGGCTAGTCTCAAACTCCTAGGCTTGGCTCCTCCCACCTTGGCTCCGCTCTTTTTTTTTTTTTTTAACTGAGTCTTGCTCTATTGCCCAGGCTGGAGTACAGTGGTGCCGTCTCGGCTCACTGCAACTTCTGCCTCCCCAGTTCAAGTGATTCTCCTGCCTCAGCCTCCTGAGTAGTTGGGATTACAGGTGCCTGACATCATGCCTGGCTAATTTTTGTGTTTTTAGTAGATGGGGTTTCACCATGTTGGCCAGGCTGGTCTCGAACTACTGACCTCAAGTGATCTGCCCACCTTGAGGTCAGTAGTTGGCCTCCCAAAGTGCTGGGATTACCGGCTTGAGCCACCAGGCTGCCCAGCATTTTTTTTTTTTTTTGAGACAGGTCTTGTTCTGTCACCCAGGCTGGCGTGCAGTGGCACAATCTTGGCTCACTCAACCTCCAACTCCTAGGTTCTAGAAATTCTGCTGACTCGGCCTCCTGGGTAGCTGAGACTACAGGAACCTGCCACCATACCTGGCTAATTTTTGTATTATTAGTAGAGACGGGGTTTCACCATATTGGCCAGGCTGGTCTCGATCTCCTGAGCTCAGGTGATCCACCCGCCTTGGCCTCCCAAAGTGCTGGGATTACACGTGTGAGGCACTGCACCCGGCCAGACCATGCTCTTTAGAGTAGTACCTCTTATTCTCCCACCCTGGAAACCTCCCATAGCCTCAGTCCTCAAGGGAATCCTCCCTGGTCATGGATGCCTCTTGCTTTCTATTTCACCTTAGTACTGGTGAAAGTATTGACCGACAAGAAAGCAATCCCAGGAGGTTAGGAGACTTGTACCAGAACACACAACCCACACATCTCTCCCTACGTGAAAATTCAGGTTTCCCGCTTCATCCCCTTTCCTCTTCCCTCTGGGAGGTACTCTGCCCTCTGGAGAAGCAAGTCCTTCAGATTCTGTCCCCATAGCTCTGACCTTCTCAGTCTCCTGCTCACAACCTGCAGGACAGTAATCCCCTTGCTGACTCTGCTTATCTGGCCAGTCTTCTTTCTGGTCCACCCCATACCCCTCTGTACTCTAAAGGAGTTCTGGTCCCCTTGGCCTGCCTCACCGAGGGTGGTGAGGACATGTCTGAGCTCTGCTCCCATGACTTTGCCGTTCCCCTCCTTGTCAAACACACGAAGCCCCTCCAAGTAGTCCTCATATGTGCCTTGGTCCCGGTTCTTAGCCGCTGCCTGGAGCATGGGCAGGAAGGTCTCAAAGTCCACACGCCGGGACTTCAGCTCATCACTCTTGGGGTTTCCCAGGATCTTGAGCACCTCGGCGTTGGTGGGGTTCTGGCCCAGGGCCCTTATCACATCCCCACACTGGCTGTACAGGATCTTGCCATCCCCCACTCGGTCAAACAGCTCAAAGGCCTCCTTGAACTCTAAGGTATAAGGAGGAGTCAGTGTAGACACAGACTAAGGGTTCCCATCACCCCCAGACAGAAGGGAATTTCATAAACTATATGAACAGAATGAGGGAGGAAAAGAAGACTAGTATGGGAGGTTTTAAGGCCAGGACTGGGGTTAGGGGAATAGAAAGAGAATCTGACCAGGGGATTGGGGACTGGACAGTGGGCTCAGGAGACCAGCTTCTCCTCACCCTCCAGTTGGTCCTTGTTAAACTCGATCTGTGGAGAAAAAAGCAGGTGGAAAGAGATGGCAGAGTTTATTCAATCCCTCTCCAACACTCCTCCCAACCAACTGGCAGCCACTTCTGGGGAGGGGCCCAAAGGGACCAGGCTGGAAGCCCAGCCACTTCAGTCCCATTCCCAGCTTTGGGCCTTGGGAGAATCCCAAGAAGAGGAATTATAGGGGGGAGGGTTTCCTGGGAACAGGGTTAATCCCATGCCACCTGTTCCCCTCCCTCCACTGCCCTGAGCCCTGCATCCCTCACATAACTGGGGGCTGAACAAAGGCTAAATTTACCCCTGGCCCCCAGCTGTGATTGTCTAACAAGTCTGTCCTCTTCAGCCTCCCCTCCTGGAGTTCAGAGCTGCAGGCCTTTTGAGTTGAACTACCAGCCAACAGCAGGCAACAGCTCTCTTCCCTTCACCTTGAAACTGTCATCAGAACCCAGATGTTCCCCATCTCGGAGTCCCTGCCTCCAGCAGGGGGTAAATGAGTGTGTATATGCTGTACGCACATGTTTATAGGTTAGAGGGAGACAACAGAAAAGACAACAGCAGCGTCATAAGCCTGGATGCTTCCAAATGGGGGACTAAGGGGAACCCCCAATCTCATTCCAGGGCTCATGATTCCCTACATTCTAGATAACCCCTAATCCCCTAAGCTGTATCCCACCCTCAAACCACCCCCTCCAATTCTATCTTCACTTTCCAGGGACTCACCACCACTTTGGAGAGATCGACTGGAGGCTCCTGGGTTTTCTGAGGGGCCTGGGGGACAGCGGGCTCAGCTTTGGGTTTGGCTGGAGGAGCCCCTGCTGCTGCTGGCTTAGTAGCAGGTTTGGAGATGGAGGGCCCTGCTGGTTTCTTCACGGGAACATCCTTCTTGGGAGGCATGATGTCCGGTGGCCAAAGGACAGTGTGCGGATGGGGGCACCCATCTCTGTTTAAATAGCCAGGGAGTCTGGGATGTCAAGGGGCGGGGGCAGGGGCAGGGAGCCAGTTGGCAGTGGTGAGGGTGAGGTAGAGGAGAGATATAACCGCCTGCCCTTACTCCCCTGGACTCCTATGGTTCAGGACTTCTGCCCCAAGGTCTTCGTCCCTGTCCCCTCATCCCCAAAGGCTGGCCAGAAAAGAACAATGTTCCCTTTAGGGGTAGGGGAGGAAGCCAGAGACTGCCCAGAATGAGGGAGTTAACCTCTGGGGTGGAGGTGAGGATAGGATGCTTGCCAGTGGCACTGAGATGGGGGTGAGGCAAAGCAAGTGATCCAGCAGCTGTAGTCTTCTTGAAGGGTGGGGTGAGGGGTAGCAGCCAGGGAGGCTTGTGTGAACTGGAACAAGTTGAATTGTGGTCTGGGAGCAGTGACTAAAACAAGCAGCCTATCCACCCAGCCCCTCCACTAAGAGCAGGGGTATTTAACCCTACTCTAGTAATAATAATCCCTAATACCTGTAGTCCCTGGGCCCCCACCCAGCCCAGAATTGGAACTATTCCCAGTATAAAGGAAGAACAGTCACAGAAACGGGAGTGTGACATCCTTCATTGTCTCCTGTGCCCAGTGTTGTTTTAGGGGTAGGAGTGGAGGCAAAGATCAGGTTTAACATCTGCTACGCATGCTTCTAAGGAAGAACCTTCTTCCACAAGCCCACGGCTGTTCAAGACAAACAAAAGGTAGGGCGCTTGCTGAACCTGCAGGGACCCCGTGGTGGCACCTGGGGAGAAGGGTGGGATCTGGGAGACAAAGGGCTTTAATTCCCTAATCCATGAGGATGTGGGCGCTCCTCTGGCCTCCAGGAGTATTCATCCCACAACCAGGAGGGATAGGGGCCAGGTCACAAACCTTGCTGGGGGTCCTGGGGGAGGGTCCAAATGAGGGGCGGTCCAAGCGGGGGGCGTTTGGGAGTGGGGAGGGGCGGCTGGCTGCTTTTGTTCTGGAGGTAAATTAGGAAAGGATTTAGGTAGCATTCTGAGGAAGAGAGCAGTGATTCCACTTAGGCTCCGGGGCTGATGCTGGGTCTCCCATTCGCAAAACAGCGTCTGAATCTCATTACTGCAAACTGTCCCATTTTTAGAAAATACATCACACACACACAACACAGACACACACATACACTCACATACACTCTCACACACCCCCATCCCTCCCCCCCGCAAACCTTAAAGAAAGCGGCCCTCCTCAGCCCGGAAAAACTCACCCTGCGGGGTCCGGGTCTGGGGTTGGGGCGGGGGCGGGGCACAGCACGGCTCCCGGCCCTGAAGGGTTAATTCTAGCGGCCACGGAGCATGCCGGGAGTCGTAGTCCCCTGCGCGCCCGCGGGCTCACGGGATACGCCGCGCTCGAGATTGCAGCTGACACGAGGGCGGTGGCTTCCGGCCGAAGGCGGCGGTTGGTGACTCAGTGTCTTTCCAGCGCGCTTTTTGTCCCGGAACTGAAAGGCAATGAGCAATTTCCAATTCACCCCAACCCTAAAACCCTGCGGGGCCCCTGGGATATCCCTCCTACTTAATCCGGGCGGGCTCCTCGTTTCTTGGGGGCGTGGATGTTTTCCTGGATCTGCTGTTGAAAGAACTCAGAACCAGGGGAAAGGTTGAGGCTGCAGCAGGCAGCGTCGAGGTCAGATAGCTGGAAGCACTTACGGCCCCGGGGAGAGCGGCTGCGGTCTCTTTCACTTCCTCTCGCGGTTTGGTAGAAAAAAAAGAGGCTACAGAGAAGTTTGTTTTTAATGAGCTGGTTGCTGAAGCAAATGTTAAAATTTGCAATTAACGCCAGTCACCTGACCCAGCCTTCTGATTGAGGCTTCCATCCTGCGGCCGCATATGCGCCATCCACCCGGTCTTCATAGGTTTCTGAGCGGAGGGATGGGCTTTCCAGCCCTACTTTCTGAGACACTTCTGCTCAGCATTGGAGTTCACTGGTTACCCTAGGCGTTGATCAGAGGACGGGAACCGGCCCTGTCGGGCCCAACTTCACTCACTGGATCAGCAAATACCCTGGCGGTGCACGGTCATGTGACGATTAGAGTAGAAAACCCGCGCCAGGGCAGTGTGGTGAGGCACGGGTGAACCTTATGGGCAGTAAGTGAGGTTCACTGGTTGGGGAAAAGTTTATTGGAAAAGTAGAAATGAATTGTAGACAGAAATAACGATGGCAGTAAGTTAGCAACCATTTCTGGAGGCCACCATAGATCCAGTACCAATGAAGGGGCTAAATTATCTCAGAGGCAGCACAGAGGGTGCTCACGTGCCTGGGGCTCAGATTTGAATCCGGGTTATGCCAGGTGCTGGTTAGTGACCCTCAGCAGGTTATCTCTTCTGGGCCTCAGTTCCTCATCTGTAAAATTACGATACTTACCTCATAGGACTCTTAGGAGGATTCGAAGTGTAATATTGGTAAAATAGGGCCGGGCGCGGTGGCTCATGCCTATTATTCCCAGCACTTTGGGGGGCGAGACAGGTGGCTCACCTGCGGTTAGGAGTTCCAGACCAGACTGGCCAACATGGTGAAACCCCGTCTCTACTAAAAATATAAGAAAACTAGCTGGACGTGGTGGCGGGCACCTGTAATCCCAGCTACTTGGGAGGCAGAGGCAGGAGAATCGCTCGAACCCAGGAGGCAGAGGTTGCTGTGAGCCGAGATCCCTCCACTGCACTGGGGCCTGGATGACAGAGTGACAGAGCGAGACTCTGTCTTTAAAAAAAAAAAAAAAAGTTTGTAAAATAGAATAGGCCTGGCACAGCATAAGTGCTGTATAAGTGTTTGTTAAATAACTTTCCTTTAATCTTCCTAAGTATGAGGTCTCTAGTATTTTCCCCATTTTACATCAGTGAAGGGAAGGATCAATAGGTGTCATGAAGAGACGGAGAGGAAGAAGGAATACATCTTTTAAGTGTTTGGTTATAAGACTGGGAAAGGGAGGCCGGGCGCGGTGGCTCAAGCCTGTAATCCCAGCACTTTGGGAGGCCGAGGCGGGTGGATCACGAGGTCAAGAGATCGAGACCATCCTGGTCAACATGGTGAAACCCCGTCTC